TTGGCTAAAGAGACAGACTTAACTGCTTGGACATTTTTCTTCTATACTAGTTGGTGTTTCTGGGTTGCCGACTTCTTTAGCCCAAGGCGAGAATATATGAGGCAAAAGGAAAATCACCATCACCACTGTGTCATCCCTTGGGAACTAAAGTTTCCTTCTGGTCTGTTTTCATCTCTGGACCTTTCAGAGTCCTCTAATGTTTGATTTATATCTAATATCCAGGGAATTTAGTCGTACTTAGCCAGAGAAATTGGGAAAACTAAATCTATTCTATCTTCCAGGAAGCAGAAGTCTCCTATTTTATTTTGGTAACCATGTCTGTGCTTATTTTTTTTATTTTATTTTTAAGTAGGCTCCACACCCAATGTGAGGCTTGAACTCACAACCCTGAGATCAAGAGTTGCATGCTCACCCACAAAGGCAGTGAGGTGCCCCACTCTGTGCTTATTTTGATGCTATCTATTATCTATCTACCTATCTATCTATCATCATCATTAATCTATATCTCTAAAGAAAGCCATCTAATGAAGCTATAGATAGAATCATTTTTCCTTCCTTTAAAAAGTAGAGATACCAGCAATCATTGCAGTTACTTTAAAGGTGTGCTTGAATCATTAAAGTAGGTACTCTATACATCTTTGTTGATGTTCATGATGTTCCTATCATTAAACTTATTTTCTAAGTACAAGCTGAGTAATATTTTTCTTCTACATTATCTCACACTGTACATTGTGGTGGGATGAAGAATAACCTAGATAGGGTTGCCAAATGGTACCTGCAAAAAATACTAGATGAATAAATCTCCAAGGCCCTAATTTTGAAAGAACATGATGTATTACTTGTGCCTATAACAATTTCTACCTTGTATTAGGTGTATACAAGTTCTGCTGTAACATAATGATACAATTTATTTAACTGAAACAAAAGGATAGTCCTATGTCTGATTTTTTTTTTTTTTACCAGACAACAAGCTCAAAAGCGAGACCAACTTTGTCAAAATCAAACACCTGGCAACCTCACAACCTCACCAGGGAGGGCCAGACCTACTGGAGCAGGGCAGGTAATCTGAGAAGTTTCCAGGAAGTTAAATTCAATAAGCATTTATTGTGCAACAAGAGGACATCTCGACCAGTGTAAAAGCATACCAGCCAAGTCTAACAGTAGGCCGTAGGTAAACAGGTCAATGGCATCACGAGGATCTCAATAGGAGGGACTATAGGTATATGCCCAAGTTTCTGGAAGCATTTGTCTATTACCAAAACACCAGGATGTATATGAGTACTCAGAAACAGAGGTGATTGAAGTTCAACCAGAGATGACACAGACAGAGATGATAGGAGCACAGTTCTAGAGGAGTTAGGATTCTGAGATGACTAAATAAGGTATGTAGAAATAAGGGAACAAGATGAAGACCAAATTAAAAGAAACAAGGTGAGAGTCTAATTATCAAAATCTGAGTACAAGGAAGTCAGACTCTTCCTTCTACTCAAGCCACATCGCATAAACCTTATATACCAATCTCCTTAAGCCTGTGCTGTGATTGGATCTAAAAAGGTAGGAGGCCTCTGCACTCCCCTTGTCTCTAGGATTTCTCTTTGTGTTTGACTTCATTGACTCAACTATCCTTTCCTTCTTAGTTTATTGTCATAGTTTGTTTGCATTTATTTTGTTTTGCTTTGCCTTAGTCTGATTCCAGACATGAGTGCTCATACTTTCTTGAATTTACTGGAATGTTGCTATATATACTGCCCTGCCTTTGGTTCATGGCACCCCTCCAGGACACCTGAAAAGCCTGGCTGTGTTGTCAGGATTTTCAAACTGTACTATAAGTACAGAGACATTGTGCTGTGCTTTGGTTCCATCAAAGTAACCTAATTGGTCCTATACCTTGTCCAGCCCCCATCTCACAGGAGAAGGGGATCCTATACAGACTAACACCACCGTTAGCTTATTGCTAAGACACCAGAGCTACTGGCCTAGGGCTCCTTAAGTCTCTTTGACCAACATCATTGATCTCTGAAACTGAGATGAAGCTGTGTCTGCAGTTGGGATCTAAATGATCCAGTCAAGCAGGTCATCTCATTGCCTCCTACTATCTTTAAAGCTCAATATAAATTTTAAATACACACTACTTGGAAGTAATAAATCACTTTTGGACTTTTTTTAACGGATGTATTTACTTGAGGGAGAGACAACACAAGTAGGAGGGGCAGAGGGAGAGGGAGAGACTCTCCAGCAGACTTCCCACTCAGCATGGAGCCCGACGTGTGGCTGGATCTCAAGACCCTGAGATCATGACCTGAGCCAAAACCAAGAGTCAGACGCTTAACCACTTGTGCCACCAAGGCACAAGCACCTCTCTCTTGTACATTTTTGACAGCACTCTACACTGAGTAGAAAAGTTTTATACAACAATTATCAGCTTATTAATGCAGTTATAAAAACATTTCTCATAGAATGCCCAAGACAGACATAGGACTGCATTTGGGCTCTTGGTTTGGAATATCCAGGCACTGATGGGAAATGCTGAATAAGTGGGGGAAGGACAGCAAAAAAGGAGGGATACGTGTTTACTAAGAGCACCAAGTAAACAACATCTTGGTCTAAGAATCAGTGAAAGGTAAATAATTAAAAGCATATATTCTGGGGATTTACCCCAAAGATACAGATGCAGTGAAGCGGCAGGACACCTGCACCCCAATGTTTATAGCAGCAATGTCCACAATAGCCAAACGGTGGAAGGAGCCTCGGTGTCCATCGAAAGATGAATGGATAAAGAAGATGTGGTTTATGTATACAATGGAATATTACTCAGCCATTAGAAATGACAAATACCTACCATTTGCTTCAAAGTGGATGGAACTGGAGGGTATTATGCTGAGGGAAGTAAGTCAATTGGAGAAGGACAAACATTATATGGCCTCATTCATTTGGGGAATATAAAAAAACAGTGAAAGGGAATAAAGGGGAAAGGAGAGAAAATGAGTGGGAAATATCAGAGAGGGTGACAGAACATGAGAGACTCCTAACTCTGGGAAATGAACAAAGGGTAGTGGAAGGGGAGGTGGGCAGGGGGTTGGGGTGACTGGGTGATGGGCACTGAGGGGGGCACTTGACGGAATGAGTACTGGGTGTTATGCTATATGTTGGCAAATCGAACTCCAAAAAAATTTATATATACAAAGAAAAGCATATGTTCTTAGAATCATCTTCCTTTCCAAGTTCCTTGTGCACCAAAGTGCCAGAAGCTTCCTGCCAAAAACTGCTTTGTCTTGCCTGTACACCAATATCTCATCCAGGGAAACCCAAATAGCAACTCTCACCTATAGGGCCTTGATGAAGTTTTCCAGAATTGGAAATTGAAGTTTTCCAGAACCTAATATCGTTGCCTTAACAGGAACGATATTAAGTTCCTAGTTTCAGACAAACTGGATTGGCATCAAACCCTCATTCACCCCTTTTATCTGTTGCCAGGACTTTTTGCCTCTGTTCTAATATTTGACACCTAAACTTCTAAACTGGTTTCTATCCCTTGTGGCATACTTTTGCCTGAGTTCCACGTCCATTCTGGCCAGTGATGTTCTGAACTGCTCTCTATTCTAATTTTATACTTTCCTAAGCCTGCATTCTTCTCTGAGTATCTCATTTTGGCAACCAGAGTCTGGCTCTGCAAACCTTTCATATCTTGACCTGGTTCTAGACTTCCAACTTTGCCGTAACCATCTGTTACTGGGATATTCGCCAGACATGACCCGTTTATGTATCTAGCTTTCTTGAGCATATAGACTTGGCTCCTGTTCTCTAATCTATGACTTTTGTCTTGGTCCTTGATATTGTCAGCATCCATGTTCTTAGTCCTGATATAGGACCACTCTGGCTTGCATTGTGCAGTAGGAAAATTGCATGGTAAGCATGCACCTACCTTCTTTCAGTATTCATACTTATGGCCTTGCCTCCTATTTGAGACTCCCACCTCATTCACCCTTCCCTGTGTCTGTAGTCTTAGGTTACCTCATGCTTCCAAATTTGCTAGGTTCATCCTCTCCCACAAATACTATCTAGCATTATGTCATAATTTCTCACCTATATATTTTTAATATGCTAATTCACATTAATAGTTATTTGACGATCCCATTTACTCCCTGCAAATCTGTATGCACTTTACATGGTTACCTTATCTAGAAAATGTTTTCACGGGGGATCCCTGGGTGGCTCAGTGATTTGGCACCTGCCTTTGGCCCAGGGCACGATCCTGGAGTCCCGGGATCGAGTCCCATGTCGGGCTCCTGGCATGGAGCCTGCTTCTCCCTCCTCCTGTGTCTCTGCCTCTCTCTCTCTATGTCTATCATAAATAAAACAAATAAATAAATAAATAAATAAATAAATCTTTAAAAAAAAGAAAATGTTTTCACTTGAAAGAGGAACTCTAATTGGAGGATAGGTGTGTTGTTAGGTAAGAAAGTTAGCAATTAGGAAGAGGCTTTTGGTGCCTGAGACTTTGGGGCTCCTAATCATTCACATTAGACTATGTATTTTTTTAAGATTTATTTATTTATTTGGGGGGGAGAGAGAGAACACATGTGAATGGAGGAGGGGCAGAGGGAGAGGGAAAGAGAGAATCTCAAGCCGACTCTGCTGAGCTCAGAGCCCCATGTGGGGCTCAATCTTAGGACCCTGAGATCATGACTTGAGCTGAAATCAAGAATCAGATGCTCAACAGACTGAGCCACCCAGGCGCCCCAAGTCTATGTATTTTTTAATTAATTACTTTTATTTTTAACAGTGGTAAGAGGACCCATGACAAAATTTACCATCTTAACCATTTTTTTGTTGTTGTTGACAGTTTATTAAATACACTACATTTGTACCTTATTCTGTAGTTTTTTTAAATCATTCACACAGGGACTTAGTAAAAACATACTTTATAGAAAACCATCTGCAAAACTAAAATAAAAATAAGAACGCACATTTTACACACATATTAGATAAACTGCTGGAAATCTTAGGAATTATTTTAATGAAGGTGATTGTAAGACATGAAGTGCCTCGACTTTATCAAATCTGACACCAGACCATGACTTCAGAAGTGTTAATGTTGAAACGTGGATGCAAAAGTGTCTATTAACAAAACTGTTCGATCTAACAGTGCTTGAGAAACAGGACAAAATAAAGTATTATTTTTCTTCTACAGATACTTTTCTGAATCCATTTGCTAAGCACTCTCCCTCCCATTCAGAGAATTAATTGTGCGGGCTGATGAGGCAATGAAAAAACAAACTAGAGCCTATTTACAAAACATGCAAAGGGAGAATTTTAAGTAGGTGTTTGTTACTGCAGAACTGCTTAAAAGTGACTACAGCTGAGTGAGAGTTATCAGTCCTCCCCCCTCCTTTCTGGAAGAAATACATGTTCAGGGCATGGACTATAAAACGGCATACAGTGCAAAGACAGAAACAAAGACGTTTGCAAATTCTTTATATTTCCAGCTGTTGAGACAATATTTTTGAGAGCTGAGGTTACCTCTAGCGGCGAAACCAGAGCCAGCTATTAAGCAGCCAGAATGCTACAGTAATTGAATACATGACCATTTCTCTTTTAGCACGCTCTTTGTTCTCCTCTTCTAGAAGCTGTAGACGTCTATTTAGTCTGATTATCTGTCGTCTTAATGAAGCTGCATCTACAACAGTCATGTAGTCTGAAGTTCCTTCAATTGTTGTATCTATATGCGAAATGCCATGCCTGACGTTGTCATGATGAGGATTAGAAGTGGTGGCAGCAGACCCACCACGCAACACAGGTCTTTCACAACGTATTTCATTTTGTCTTCTCACACTGCGATTTTCATCCAGCACATCCAAGATCTGCTGGTAAGCCCTAAGAGTGGAAGACTGGATAAGCGACAAAATGCCTCGAGCAGAGGAAAGATTAGCTCCATCTTCAGGTAACGTTTGGGGAGGACAGACCCGAACCTGTTGTGGCAACGGTGTCACAATGGAGTCAGCTCTGACCAGCTGTCCGTTTTGGCGAACAGCATTTTCACTCATAGAGCGCTCTCTTTTTAGCCTGCCAACTGCACGGATTTCTTCATTTTGAGGGGTTGGAGGAGGTCTTTCTAAATCCAGAAAATCTAGTGGTCTTTCACTTAATGTAAGTACACGAGGTGGTGTTTTTAGTGCCAGAGGTTTAAAGGGAGTTGACTGAATAAGGTCAAGATCTGCAGGTCTTGAAAATGGAATGTCTTCATTATTTCCTGCTACAACAATCCTCTCTGGCACCTGCATAATGACACTAGCATTTGGAACTCCTTTTTGGAATCCTTGTTCCAGGTCAGCATTTGGTGGTGCTACCTTTAATTTCTCCGGGACCCTCATCTGCTGACTAATACCTTCGGTGTATTCCATTTCATACTGAATTCGACTAATTTCCGCCATCTCAGCAGCAGTGGGAGAAGGAAATGCTGCCCCACTCACTAAATGTGTACCAGCTACTGCGGGCTATTTGGCACTATCTGCTTCTGGGCTTCATATTAAATCCTTTAACTCGCTTCAATGTGCCTGTGCTGGATTTAGAGCCACTTTTGTCCCGCTGGGCCCGCTGGAGGGTCCCCGACCACCGCCGCCGCCCGCCGGCTCCCAGGGCGTTCGGGTGGGCGCTTCCGGAGGCCGTTGGCCGAGCGCACGGAGGCGCCCGGGGAAAGCACCGGCCGGAGCCCATCTTAACCATTTTTAAGTGTACGATTTAGTAGTGTTAAGTATATTCACAGTGTTATGCAATGGATCTTCAGAACTTTTTCATGTTGCAAAACTGCAACTATATACTTATTAAATAGCAACTCGCCTTTTTCTGCCTCCCCCCAGCCCCTGGCAACCAGCATTAGTAACATATTTCCTTTTGAATGGGGTTGGCCTCTGCTTACAACAGGCTCAATCTGGATATTAAAGGAAAACCAAACTGTTTTTCTTTTTAACCCAAAATGATGGGTAGGAGAACCAGGAGACCAACTCTATCAATTTATTCCAATAGGCAGGAACTACCCAAGTAACCCTACCAGTTGTCCCGTTTGGAAATGCCCAGTTCTGAAATTTGAAGAAGTCTAGGAAGCAAACCTGAATGCTATGGATGTCCACTTTTTAAAATACGTTCCCTTGGGTGGGAGGTGGTGGTGGTGGGGCTCCTGGATGGCTCAGTCAGTTAAGCAACCAGATCTTGATCTCAGCTCAGGTGTAGATCCCAGGGTTATGAGTTAAAGCCCCATGTTGGGCTCCACACTGGCTGGGCACAGAGCCTACTTAAGATAAAAAAAAAAAATTAGGGACGCCTATGTGGCTCAGTGGTTGAGTATCTGCTTTCGGCTCAGGGCGTGATCCCAGGGTCCGGGGTCGAGTCCCATATTGGGCTCCCTGTGAGGAGCCTGCTTCTTCCTCTGCCTCTCTTTATGTGACTCTCATGAATAAATAAAATCTTTAAAAATAAAAATAAAATAAAAACTTAAAAAATAAAGATTTCCTTGGATCTTAAAAGCACTATGTTGTTTTTTTTTTTCTCTGAACCATTACAATTCAGCTAATTATCAACCGTAGGTCTTTCCTTCTCTTTTATGTAGTTGATATTTTCAGAATATAAATGCAACAAGAGAGGTTTGTTGTTGTTGTTGTTGTTTAAGATTATATTTATTTATTCATGAGAGAGGAGCCTAAGTATGCAGTCATGGAAAGGAAATTGAAAGTGCTAAGAGAAGGACAGAATTTTTTTTTTATTTGAGTCATTGTTTGATCTCTCAAAAGACCAGATTCAGCATCCTGAGTGAGAAGGTCTGATATGAAACATATGCTGATATAAACGGGGAATAAATAAGAAGTCATCTTCCCTCACCCTGATTCATAATAGCAATTAATGATGATAATGAAGCAGATGATGGTAATGATGATGATGATTGTTGCAAGAAGCAACTGCCATGGTTGTTGAGTGTTCCCTGCATGCTCTCACTGGATAGGCCAATACTGCAAAGCCCTGACCACTCTTTACCTGGACTGTTTCTCAAAGTTGTGTTTCCAGTACCCACCCCTGAGCGATGAGGCAACATCTCTTCTTGGACAAAGAGCAAGATGCTTACTGCTTACTATAAAAGCTATGAATTGGGGTCCCTGGGTGGCTTAGTCAGTTGAGCATCCAACTCTTGATTTTGGCTTAGGTCATGATCTTAGGGTCCTGGGACTGAGCCCCTCCTCAGATTCTGCACTCAGCAGGGAGTCTGCTGGAGATTCTCTTTCTCTCTCTCTGCTTCTCCCCCTGCCCTCTCTTTCAAATAATTAAATAAATCTTAAAAATCCTTTAAAAAAAGCTATGAATTCCCAAAGCTCAATGTTCCTCAACAAGGATGCAATCCAACCGAGTTCTCAGCATCTAACTGGGCTTCCACATGTCATCCCTGTGGGGATTGAGGGCAAAGGGAACCAATGCAAATATGCAGATGCTCACATTGTTTTCTGTGCTGTGAATAAAACTCTTTTTTAAAATATTTTATTCATTTGTTTGGGAGTGAGAGTGAGAGAGAGCACGTGCGAGGGGGAGGGGCAGATGGAAAGGGAGAAGCAGGCTCTCCACAGAGCCTGATGTGCAAGTAGCCTGATGTGTGGTTCGATCTCTATACTCCAGGATCATGACCTGAGCCAAAGGCAGATGAGCCACCCAGGCAACCTGAGTAAAACTCTTTTATCCCTCAATCTGTAGTCTCATGTCTTTTGCCAGCATCCATGAACCTATACAAAGTTGATTCGTTAACTTACAAGTAGGGTAAGATGCCAGACCTGACAATAATAAGATAAGCTTCTTCTATCTACTGTGGTTAATAATAATAATAGATAATATTAATTAAAAACTAGTAACAAAACCATTTATTGAGGGCTTCCAAAGTGCTAGGCACTCACTGCTCTATGTACTTGATATAAATTATCTCATGTGATATCCACAATAACCTTACTAAGAAGTCCAATGACTTGCCCACCCAAGTTCACATATTCTCAAGGTGTCCTGACAATTATCATTACTGTTCTCTCTTCCTTGCTAACATCCTTCTATACTCCTTACTTTTTTTGCCTTCTTGTTGTAATTCTTTGTTTTGACCATCAAAAAGGCCATCATATAAAAATAATGTGAAACTCACTCCCCCAGAAAACTCTTTCGTATTTCAATTTTCTTCTTAGGATAGTGAATAGCCCAGACTCTGGAGCCAGTCTTCACTCGCCAGCTGGGTTGACTTGGGGCAAGTTATTTAATCTCTCTTTGTCTTAATTTCCTCATTTGTAAAATAAGAGATAATAACAGTACCAATCTAGTAGGGTTGTTGTAAGTCTCAAGTGGGTTATTATGTAAAAGGTTTGCAATAATGCAGTTCAATTGAAATTCACTATTCTTCTCATTCTGCCTTCTTTTTTGAAAACAGAATATTCCTGAATCATCTTTTCTACCGTACAAATTTTAGACTGATGGTGATTATACTAATCATCTTCAACCTCATCATAATCTCCACTTGAGTGCATACCATTTGCAAGTAGGTACTATGTCTACATCAAAATGATATTCCATTTCAACCAAAGAATCTATCCTATCAGGGACCTAACACTGTTAGATGCAAGAGGGAATGCAAAGCAAGTTGAAGACATTGGACACTGCCCTGGCCCTAAAGAAACTGGCAATGTATCTAAGGCGATGAAATTAACACACATGAAATCATAGAGGGGGAATAAATAATGATTGATATAATAGTGCTCATATAACTACATTATGAATTTAGAGAAAGCTAACAGAGTGGCTAAAGCAGGCAAAGAAGCCTTCATATGGTAGAAGTAGGAATCATGCTGAGTCTTTTTAAAAAAAAGATATTATTTATTTGAGAGGGAGAGATGGCAAGAGAGTATGAGCTGGGGGTGGGGGAGAAGGAGAAGCAGGCTCCCCGCTGAGCAGGGAGCCCAAAGCAGGGCTTGATCCTAGGATCTGAGCAAGAGGCAGACGCTTAACTGACTGAGCCACCCAGGTGCCCCAGAATCATTCTGAGTCTTTTTTTTTTAAGATTTTATTTACTTATTCATGAGAGACACAGAAAGAGAGGAGGCAGAGACACAGGCAGAAGGAGAAGCAGGCTACATGCAGGTAGCCTGGCATGGGACTTGACTCCGGGTCCCCAGGATTGCCCCGGGCTGAAGGCGGCACTAAACCACTGAGCCACCTGGGCTGCGCCATTGAGTCTTAAAATGTGGACATTTGGGATCCCTCGGTGGCGCAGCGGTTTAGCCCCTGCCTTTGGCCCAGGGCGCGATCCTGGAGACCCGGAATCGAATCCCACGTTGGGCTCCCGTTGCATGGAGCCTGCTTCTCCCTCTGCCTGTGTCTCTGCCTCTCTCTCTGTCTGTGTGTGACTATCATAAATAAATAAAAATTTTAAAAAAATATTTAAAGTGTGGACATTTACTCTGGCAGAAAGGGAAAAAGGTAAAGACTCAACCTCTAACACTTTCTAGTTTCTACAAATCTTTTCCACCTATAGACTCATTTTGTCCTTGTGGCAAGCCCCTAGGGTAGACAGAGAAGGCATTCATATTCCAGCACATAGGTATATCCTGATGCACAGTGGTATGTAACTTGCCCAAGGTCTAGAGCCAGTAAGTGGAACACACTTAACTACTTGCTACTCCAGCTACAGCAGAGCCTCTGCCTGCAAGGAGCTTATACCTGTTAATCGTGACTCTCCTATAGATATAAAATGAATATGTGTAAAGATTTTATTTAACTCAGGGCACTTGGGTGGCTCAGTGGTTGAGTGTCTGCCTTTGGCTCAGGTCGTGATCCTGGGGTCCTGGGATCGAGTCCCACACCAGGCTCCCTGCGGGGAGCCTGCTTCTCCCTCTGCCTATATCTCTGGCTCTCTCTCCTTGTTTCTCATGAATTATTTTATTTAACTCATTATCAACAAAAGAACTGGTCAATGCTAACAACCAGTCCAAAGGAGGAGTAAAAAATGCACATATTTATATGGATTAAGGAAATGTTGCATTTAAAAATAGATGACAAGCTGGCTTTTTTTTCCATGGAGGGAGGAAAAAGGAAGTCAATTGAACTGCCACCGGACAGAATTTATTTGCACGTCTATGAACAAGAACTATTTTTCATTGCTACCAGTTATCTACAGCTTGCAGAGTTTTTCAATAGCTCAAAGAAAATGAAAGATTGAATGCACATAACTCAAAGAATCTGCTCCAAACAATGGCTAGTTTCCAATGGAGGCACTCAGGAGTCTCTTTTGCTTATTACAAGTTTCCCTATGTTCTATGAGTTATAGACATATACAGAATACAAAGGAAGTAATAGCAAATGTTACAAGGCCACATCCATCCAGGGCTGGAGATGTGGGTTGGGGACACCTGACCCCATATCTTGAGGTGCCAAGCTGGTCTTAGGACCAGGAACCTAATTAAGGATGAAGGAAGCCATGTTGTGTTGAGGGGTCATTTAGAGAAGTCTGCTCTAAAACCGATCAGCTTCGAGTTCAACAGATGCTTGAAGGTGGGCTTTCCAAGTTGTTTAAGTGGTAGATGGTGGTGAGTATGGTCCAGGCTGGTCAATTTTATAGCACCCAGATTCAGAGATTCAGTTAATCATTTAATTAAGTTTATATCCACCTTTTTTTTAAAGAAAGTAGTAATTAATT